ATAATAATAATAATAATAATAGCTATTATTATTATTATTATTATTATACATTTAGGTTACATATGCATTTAGAAGAAGGTTTTATCCAAAACGACTTACAAAAGAGGAACAAATGACTCCAAAGTCAGTCACAAAGCCAGGTTTATTATACAATAATAAAGTGCTAAGATTATCACAAAAATTTTGATGCACATCTTTCTTATTAAATCGTTGTATTCCACCTCGCACCGTTACAATTGATAGAGATAATCACTTAAGAGAAGTTGCTGTAGGCCTATTCCACATAATAATATGCAATAAAACAATATACAATATGATTTGTTAACATGTAGGCTACCTAGGAGCTTGCTGCATGAATCCGTGAGTACAGTTTACAAACCCGAGGGAACGGATTGCAAAACCGACTTCCCGGGCTCCGTAGAGATCACTTGACTTGGCCATTGCAGAATATTCCACTTTTTACCTTCAAAAACTACTGGGTTGCTTTTTGTTTTTTTTTTCTCCTACAGGTGACTTCCCGGGCTCCGTAATAACCATAGGCAACCGACATGAATACAAAAAACCTGGGACATGTTTTAAAATAGACTTTAAAATAAATAAATAAGTAAGAAAGTAAGTAAATAAATAAAAAAATGTAATTAATCATGAACACTTATTTGTTATTCTAACAAAGTTCGTAGTTCGGGAAGAAGGAGGTGGGAACTGGCGAACATTTAAATACTTTAATAAAATAAACAAACACAAAATAAAAGTAAAGCGGCAGCCCCTCGCGGACGACTGCCGCACACAAAACACAAAATAAAATCCAGGCCTGGTCCTCTCTCGTCCAACACTGTCGTCACTCCTCCTTTTATCCCTCCGCAGCTCCTCCGTGGGACTCGAGACCGGTGAGTGGCGCAGGTGTCGTGCATTAGCATTTACTCCACCGGCCTCGCTCCGTTCCCACGGCTCTCGGCCCCGCCCCTCTCGTCACAGTTATCAATAATAGAATGAGTTTCATTGACTAATAATTGCTTGCAAGTTCCCTTAAAGGGGTCATATGATGTGATTTCAAGTTTTCCTTTCTCTTTGGAGTGTTACAAGCTGTTCGTGAATAGATAAGATCCCTAAAGTTGCAATAGACTAAAGTCTCAAACCCAAAGAGATATTCTTTGTAAAAGTTAAGACTGGTCCACGCCCTCCTAAAACGCCTCGTTTAACGCCCCACACGGATGTGGGAAGATTTGCATAACGCCGCCCAAATGTTCACGCAAAGAAAGAAGGCGTAACTTTATTTTTTCTGCCACCGCCGCCGCCATGTTGTGAAGACGCTGTGTTTCGTTGCGAAAGCGAAAATATTTTGTTTGGTCTTCCAAAAGAGGACACGACTAGAAATCAGTGGTTAAGTTGTATTTACAACACTGTTCCAGAACAGTTCAACCCAAATATTCAGATGTGTGCAGCACATTTTATGGAGGACTGTTTCCTG